TCCTGTCCTTCAGGATGATAATGAAGTGAGTGGCGAGCGTAATCGAGCGCGATGGGCGAGAAATGGAACTAGGAAGCAAAGTGAAGTTTCTAGAATTAGCTAATGAATTTGGTGTATATAGGATTGATTGACATAGATTTGGTTTTGCGGTTATTTAAAACCGCGGAATTTATTCTGTGCCTTATCGTTCTATTTTTCATTAGGATGTGTTACGATATCCTATAAAGTTAACTAATTAAATTAATTATAAGAAATTTTTTCATATTATTGATCAAATTGAAACGTAACAAGGATAATAAATTTAATGCATTTTTAAAAATTACAGTCTATTCGTGTATATTTCTCTGAAATTTTATTTAATATTTCACAAAGTGAAAAGAAAATGAGCATAACCGAGCTCCAATTTCCCAATTTTGACGCAAACAAAAAAAAAAAAAAATAATCATCATTAGTACAAATTCGTTACCTTCGTACATCAAAAGTGTCATCTTTCCAAAAATCACGAGCAATTTCTATTAAACTCGTGAGATTATACACCGGAAGCGTAACAGGATTAACCAAAGCGGAAGAATCCTCGCGCATCTCTCTAGAAATATTATCCGGAACTGTTTAACGTGTTCCCACGTGTTCGCCGGAATGCACACACCGCGTCGAATAGAGGGTTGTTCGCTTCTGAAAGCAGTCCTTCACAGACTTTGAAAGGCCATTTTCGGCTCGACGAATAATTCAGCCGACTCGCGAGGCGAAAAGTGGTAGGTTATCTCCGGGTATAACGGAATGCGGGGAGTTATATTGCAGCCGTCTGAAACGAGACACACCACACGAGGAATCTTCGTGCATCCGGCGAACGATCTTGTTAAATTTCTACGCGATCGATACGTGATCCCTCGTGGGCCGCGAAAGTTAAGCACCGCGAAAATTTCGGTTCGAACTTCGGTCGTGCATCAATTATAAATAATTTCGAGTCGTTAAAGTATTGCACAGATAGTCTAAGTAGTTATTTAAGGAAAGTTGGAATTTTGCATTGACAAAATTACAAATAATTTGGAATCGTTAAGCTATGGGATTTAACAATTTATAATAGGTTATTAGTTTATAAAATTGTGAAAATGAGGTTTTTAAAAATTTCAATAACAATAATATTATATCAATTCTTAAAGAATGAATAATGAATAATAAAAATAGGATTGATTTAATAGAGTCTCGAGGAATCTTTTGTTAAAAATTTTTATATTGAAATGTTTAATTTCAGTTTATTATTAAGGGATAATTTAAAGTAATGGTGAAATTTGTAGCTTAAAAAAATTTTTTTATCTTGAATTATGTATTTAATTTCTTAAGTGGTGATTTTAATGTCTTTGATCTAGGGAACTTAGGTTGGTTTGTATAAGACCGAGCCATTATTTGCAAGATAATTAGCTCTTAGAGGCCTTAGAGGAAGTCCGTGGCACAAGTTATTGCTATTAAGCTAACGCAATTGTAACTTCCTCTTGAGGCATTGTTTAATTAAAATATATTGTTAAACAATTTAAACAGTATAATATATTGTATGGGCATTTCCTGTAAATAAGAAAAAAATTATCTAACCATTTTCTATTCTAGAAACAAAAAAAACAACTTTAAAAAAAACAAGAGAAAAAATCTTTTTAAATCATCGTATCACAACTCTCTACAAACCATTTACACAGAAAAATCTTCTTGTCCAAATTTCTAACAATAACGCAAACATTCAAATTGGTTCAAAATTATTGCCCATACAAATTCAGATAATTCATTTTGCATATGCAACATGTATCGCTGATGTTATTTCTTGAGAAATTAATACCACGAATGCTCGAAACTAATCGTGGAATCGATACTATGGTGTCCCCATATAAAATGATTAATTCTCAATCAGCGGACGATGTTGGTCGAATTATTCTGGCGCATATTTTCGAATCGGCAGCGACATAATTCCATACATTGCAGAGGAGACTCCACGAAATCTGATTACGACACTGATTAATTATTGATTAAAACGGACATTACCATAATCGGGAATGCAGGTTTGCTCGGTCGTTTGCGGTAGGAGATCCTCTCCATATTTATCGAGATAGATCTTGAGGAAAATCGACAAGGCGGGGTTCGTGCTCGATCAGAGCTTTGGAAGAAAGCCTCGTTTTGAGCTCGTTTTAAATGCCGAACCAGCCGTATTCCAACGTGTCGTGGCCAAGAAAATTGAATCCGAGATCGCAGTATCCGCGAAATAGGACGATTAACGAGCCACTTGGGGCGAAGAGTGGAAGAGTGCAATCGAAATGCGCCAAATCTCGAGGACTGTTAACGTGGAATGTCGTTTTAATTATTCTTTCTTTCCTTTTTTAAATCGAACAGTGAGATTTTAATTTGCAAATTTCAAAAATCCCGTTTAGAATCTCGTTTTGAATAATGAATTTTGTATCAGGGATCAAATTCAATTTCTTAGATTAAATGAAGCATCTGATTGCGAAGTGATATTCTAGGTCACTGGAAATTTCGTATTTCTATTCTAATATTTATCTTTCAGTAACAAATGGATCTTCATTATTCATTTGTGGATCTAATTTAATTTATTGGCTAAGTGGCATAGATTCGATGCTAAAACTGTTCGAAACTTTTACGTTGATATTTAAGATATTTTGGGAGGAATGGTAATGTATTTTTTTGCCAAATCCTTTAAAAAGAAAAATAAAAAAATTCTTTGTACAAAAAATCTATTTGAATGATGAAAATCATGACAAAGGGCTAAAACGTCTCCGTTCTTCACGTCCCCGTTGTACATCTAAGACTGAAGTGTCTAATAAATTTCAAGAGGGCTGGCATTAGCAACCCTCCCGATCACTATAATTATTCGCAGAGACAAGGAATTCGTTTCTGGCGAAGACGATAGTTTGGCTGCAGTAAATTCGACGTTGCGCCACGTTTTCGACCTAGTCCATTCCTTATTCCGCTCGATGATAATTACAGGCCTCTCCCCAGTTGCACCGATTCCCCACGCCAATTTGAAAGTCCGAAACGCGGTGAAACGGTTCAAGTGTCCCTCTTCCTCCCTGTGCGTCTTCGTATTTCGGGCGGAGAAAGACTCGTTATACTGCTAATTACAAAATATCATTCCGCTCTAATTGTATACTCGTGCCAAACGCGACGACGAGGAGATGGCGGTTGTTGTTTAACGCTTGTTAAGACTTGTACCACGCCAAAGGGAATGTTTAACACCGTGACACAACAAAAATTGCGCTTTTAGTAAAATGGAAACGCGGTAAATAGGTGATTCGACCACGAAAACTCGTAATACGCTTGTGTCCTGAATTTTTTTTTTATAGTAGCAATGCCTGTAAGTCGCCCAATTTGCATAGAAATTAAAATATCGCTGCGGTCGATATTACGAATTGATGCCGGTTTCATATTTTTGAAAGGTAAAAGGTGATTTTTAAAAAGAAATATCGAAATAATTGAGATAATTGTTTGAGAAAAGTTGATGAAGATTATTTCTGAAATGATATTATAAGATTTGAAAGATTGGATGTGTAAGAACGATGATACGCGATATTTAAATATCTAAAAATAAAAATAAAACATCGCATGGGTTGGTGGTGTAATGAGTAACGTTACCAAGTTGTCACCCGGTGGGCCAGAGTTCGATTCTTGATTTCTCGAAAAATGATTTTTCAATTTCTTTATATTAATTTCCTATTATTTCTTGATGTCTCAGGAATAGGTCATGTTTTAATTATAAATTCTTCTTCTCATTATTTGGATTTATTTATATAAAAGTATTTAAATAATTCTTCTGTAAGATTTTTAATATTTCTAAGTTTGAAATTTCTCCCTATAAGGGAAAAAAGGAAAAATACTTACTTTATTCAATTTAGAATTTCACTTATATAAAAACAGGTTATATTTGTTTATAAATTTATGAACAAATTCTGTTACAATATATTATAAGTTTGGAATGAAAAATGAACTTTTATAAGATTATGTATTTATTACATAATTCTTGTAAGAAAATAAAAAGAATTTCTCTCTTGAAATATTATTTGTACGAATGTTTTCTTGTATTATTATTCTAACTTGTTTTCCTCGTATAAAAAATAAATAGAAAAGCAAAGTGTTTTATATACTATTTTTAAAAGTTTTAAATTCAATGATTTTAAAATGTTGTTTCTCTCGATATCTCAATTTCTGAATCTGATAAAAAAATATATCCATAATTAAACGATATCTCTCCCTGTTCTTCAACAATTCCTCCATTCATCAATTTCTCTCTAAAGAAAGTTGATCAATAGTAGTATTTAACTCCTCTAGATCAATTTTCCTCCTTAGGTATGTTAGATATTATCCTCGAATTGTTGCAAACTGGCACATGAACTATCACGCAAGCTTTCATCAATATTCCTTTACTTCTAACCTTATATGTTATACCATAAAACGACCTCGGCCTAAACTTCATTTCGTTTTTAACTGAACAACCCTGAATTTTGTGCACGTGATGGGCGAAAATTTCTAGCGCAGAACGGAGCTCGAACAAAGCATGAATTTCGTGACACGGGTCATGACCTTCGATGCCAACCGGGTTAAAAAATGCAGCTTGCGTTCCTTTGCATATTTCGCATCGAAGAAAACGGCTAGAATTCATTAAAAAACCTAAAGAGCAGAGGGAAATGAGTTTGCCTTAATTGCCTCGAAAAAAAACGATTGTTTCTTTGCTTCTGTTCTGTTTTACTTTATTCCTGATTTAAACAACAGCTTTGTTATCGTTTCTCTGTTTACTGATTACCATAGCACGGATTACTCGTTATTATGTAACAATGAACAGAATTTCATTATAAGATTTTATGTAAAATTATGTAAGGCGTATTTGTTAGGGAATTATTGAAAAATAATGAATAAAAAATCTTTTTTTTTTTAATAAATAATTGAAATGCGGAAAGAAAAGTTAAATTAAAGATATATGATTTAATTAATGTATTCTTTTGTTACAGGATGACACGCGCATAATGAAAGTGGGCGATAAGAAGAAATGGATACACGACCCAAATAGTAAGTATTGAACATTCTACTTAAAATTAAACTTGAAACTTTTCATGTATAATGAATGTAAATATTATTTTTACTTTAACATTGATAAAAAAATTAATAATAAAATATCGAAAAATACTCGAATTACACAATTACTGCAGAAGTTTATAAGCTATCAAATTTTTCCATTTTCTTCTTTTTCTTTCTTTTTTTTTTTTTTTCTCCTATTATAAAAGTCAATTATATATTTTAATTTTAATGAAAAAATGCATTGATTGATGATTCGCACAATTAGAAATTTATCTTTTGAGTATTGGAAAATAATAAAAATCATTATTGTGTTGCTCTGATTGGAAAGTTATTCGTTTTCCTCGTCAATATGTTCCTTTTTATATTCACAAGCTAAAATAGCCAATTACTTTGAACTTTCGGGCTAACCCACTTCTTGAAGTGCAAATTCTCTCATCAAGAGAGAAAAAAAGAAAAAAAGTAAGAAAAGGAGCGTATTAAAGTTTTCTAAGAAGTTCGAAGAACCTTTGGTAGGCAAATTATGTTAATCGGTCCGCGGGATACGTAATTTTTCTCTTTTTCTTGGAACTACTTACGGTTGGCAATACTGTAACGAAATTTGCCTCTGATTAACTTTTTCATACGCATAAAACTAATTTTTTGCTCGAGTTATCTACTAAAATTTATGTAAAACTTGGTATTTCTGTAAGCTTTTAATGCACAAAGATATGTTGTGATTAAAATGATGTGAATAGAAATGAATCTTATGACTTTATTATTTACGTATAAAATTCTCGACAATATTTTTTTTATTTTTTGTACCGTTTTATTTTTTATTTTAAATTATATTAATAAAAATTGTTGCATAAATGATTCCATAAATATTCAATATCCTCTAGACAAAAATATAATCTGTAAATAAATCTGCAATTTCCTGCAGTTTTCTGAATCTCTGGTTAATCTTTTCATCAATCTTCGTTATCTTGATTATTTTTTTTTTTGTAAATGAATAATAAATATCGATGAAATATTTTATTATTTATAGTTTCTCTGATTTTTTAATGTTTATCTTCTTTGAATAAAGAGATGAGAAGTAAAGTTTTTAAGCAATTAAAATTATTTATTTTTTATGATTTAGTGCGGTGATTATATAAATGTTTTCTAGATTGTAACTTTGTTGAGAGATTTTTCAGATTTATATTGAATTAAAATGAATTTTGTAGATTTTTAAAATTTTCCATCTTTTATCTTATCTTTTGTTTTTTTTTTTTTTTCAATTTTTAAATTCCATTATTCATTTTACTCTTCTCTTTATACATTTTCTGAATTATTTTATTATTTTTATCTCTATGCTTTTTTTATTGATTCGTAGATTCTTTGTTACAAAATTTTTTAAAAATAATTCCCTTGAATAAAAAAATTATATTCTCGTATCCTTTCTCAATTTTCGTCTCGACGTTATGTTTTTTAAAAAACATCAAACTAAACTAATTTTTCGCCATGCCAATAATAGAATCAATCACTTTGATCAGCGAACCCATCCATCTCTCGCGTATTTTTACTTCCTTTACCTCTGTGTATTTTTTATTTTTATTTTTCTTATTCATACATTTATTTTTTTTTATTACAAATTTTCTTATAACATCCAACCTTCCTAAATAAATTTTTTTAAAATGAAAAATTATTTCCTCCTATCTCCACGAATTTTTCCCTTCGAACTGCATTTAAAAAAATATCAAAACTAAACTAATTTTTCGCCATGCCAATAATAGAATCAATCACTTTGACCAGTGAACCCATCCATCTTTCGCGTATTTTTACTACCTTTATCTCTACGTTCTTCCACCTTTTATTTTTGTTCCTCCTTCATTACAAATTTCATTCTACACATTCCCATCCCCAAATATAATTTTCTTAAAATAAAAGAAAAAGTCATTTCCCTCGAAAGTATATTTAAAGGACATGAAACTAATTTTTCGCCGTCTAAACTAATTTTTCAATAATAGAATTAATCGCTTTGATCAACCGATCTATCCATCTCTCCCGCGTATTTTTCGCTTCGTTTCAACTTTACACGGAATATATATATTTCGATGCCCGCGTCATTTCTCCCTCCTTTTTTTTCTTTTTCAACTGAATTTGTTTCGCCGTGAAGCGCGCGTCTTTTGAAACGACACGAGGCGGAATCGGTATTGCGCTCTCAAAAAGAAGGGATTCCATTTTGAATCGTTAGGCGCGCGATTGTACACGAGGAGAAACAAATACGATTCTTTTGTAAATCGCGTGGTTAGATCAGTGTGGCAAGTCACACACAAAGAATGAATGTAATCGCGCGCACTCGTTCCGTTATTGCTACGATTACAATTCTGCCGTTTTATCTTTTGCCGTAGTGTCCGTCACACTGCGCCCTTTCATCGCTTTGCTTCCACGTGTTTTCGCTTCTTCGTCCCCCCTCCTTCTACCTTTCCTTTTCCGTCTCGTTTGTTATTTCGTTTTGTCCATATGGAAACGGGCAATAGACGAACGTTATTCTCACTTTTCTCGTTTCGTTTCATTCGTGAGATCGATCGATCGATTCGAGTTGATCGAGTTTTGATCGACGGGTCAAATTAAGTTTTTTGACTCGAACATTGATCCCATTTCTTCTCCGACTTACGTTGGATTAATGGATCGATTTTGATATTAAAATAATATTTTCATCGTGTTCTTTTACATATTATTATCACGATGAAAATATATCCATCACGTGTATACGAGTCACTCGATTATTCTCCCCCTCTAAAAAGAACGTGAATCATGTAAGAGGTCGCGATAATAATCTACGTACACGATAAGGGGTTGGAGAGGGGCAAGATTAATTATTTACACTTTGTATATCAATGTGTATCATGAGTCAGTGATACGATTTTTAAAAACGTTTTAATTAGATCTTTACATATAAACCACCGTAATTTTCGTCGCCGTAATTTTTAACACGGGAATTTGGAAAATTTCAAAATTCACCGACAATAATATTTTAATACACGGTTTAAAAAATTTTAAAAATAAAAATATTTTGGACAAAAAGAATCGGCATCAGCAACTAATCTAACGTATATAATAAAAACCTCAGAAATATTTCTAACGTTCGACAAAACTTCAAACTTTCACGCTGCTGCATATTCCAATGAAGACACACGAATTCAACAAAAATTCCTCCGCCGCGATGCGAATCGAATCGATAAATCGGAAACCCGTTCCACGTTTTTCCGCGAGTCCGTTCGTTAAATTGAATCTCTCGCGGAATCGCGGCTATGCCCGCCGCAATTACTTGGTCCCCTCCACAGGAATAACCGCTGATTCGAGGCTGGTCATAATAATGATAATAATAATAGGTTGCCTCTTTGTTGCGCTCACTTCTTGCTGCGAGGCCGAAGGTGAACGTTGGAGGGGGTTTCGAACGAGTGTCACGCGTCCATCACGGAGGGAGGGGTTGAACGACTCGGCGACGATTATCGTGAGCACGGAGGGAATAATCGATGGGGTTGTTGGAGGGAAGGGTTCGATTTGTGCGATGGATTTTTTTTTTTCTATTCTTTCGGGGATGGTTAATAGTCGGGGGAGGGGTTGGCGGCCGCTTTTCGCGATGGTTTTCGAAAGGGGTTGAGATTAAATTTTTTTGCAGTTGTGGTCGATTGAAAGGGGGAATGGATTCGGTGAATTTGCTGGGTGATTTTTTAATTCTTAAGTTGTGCGGATTTAATTTTCAGAGTGGTGTAGAGGGAAGGGAGTTTTGGGGATGTAATTTTTCAATTGTTTACAGTTTAATGAAATTGTGATGCGATTATTCAAATATTTTTTTGAAACGGGCTAGATATTTTAAGGTACATGGATATAGTAGAATTTATAATTATAAACAGTTCATCTTATAATAATAAAAGAAAGAATTTTGTTTCCTGGATTTTTATCAATTTATCGTTATTGTTGCATGTACATTTGCTGGAAAATAAACTTAACTTTTTTATATGCCTGTAAACAGAGCTTTATGAATTATTTGGAAATTTTATAAAGTAGATTGAAAGAATTTAGATTAGAGGAAAATTGAAATTGAAGTTTGAAAAAAGAGAAAACGATGGAAAAAGAAATATTGGAACTAAAAATATAGTGTAATAGAATTACATAGAATTCGAGAAATATAATTTATCGATAAAAATAGTTTCTTATATAATAATTTCAGTATTAAATTATTTTATTTATAAGAATATTTAACAAGTTGATATCTGGATGATTTTAAATAATAAATTATAGCTTATCTAGTAAAAAAAAAAAAAGCTCGTCCTACTTAAAATTACATATTATGTTCATGGAATGATGAAACATAATATTCAATTATAATAAATCTAAAATTTTAAACGTGACATATTTTAAATATAAATCATAAAATACGTTTTATCATAAAAATATATATATAAAATATTTCATCTTCATAATTACAGAATTTATTTTAATACGTACTTTTTTAATTATGATATAATCGTACCAAAAAATACGAATAATCCAGCATCACGATTTCTTTTTCTTCCCACCGCACTCGCATCGTATTTTTTAATGTAAACGTGACGCAAGCTTCGTCACCGTTATGAATAAATTTTTATCCAATTTTAGTCACAAAATCCGTGCTACAATTTCTCTTAACAATTAACATTTATCCATGTATAATAATTCGTATAATAATATTACAATGTAATATTTCATAAAGAAAAGGATTGCTTTTGACATAAGCTCTTCAATTGAAACACAAAAGGGAACACAGAAGGAAGCAATCTCGGGAAATTCGCTCGTCTTCTTATTCCAAATAACGAAGAAACACGCTAACTAATTGTAAATATAATCCATGAAACAAAAACTTGAATTTTGTTGAAATTCACGTTATTTCATAATTTAAACCTACCTAGCTTTGTGCCCAGCTCTTAAAATGAAATATCTTATGCAATATACTTATAAAATCCACTTGTGACAAACAATTATTAATT